TTATATTGCCCCCCCCCCCCCCCCCCCCCCTTCCCCGGGCGTTAACCAGCCCAGAAACTTCGCGTCAAGCAAAAAGAGGCACAATCGTTTATATTTTTAGGTTAAAGAATTATACAACTGTTTTTTTGGATTGTTTATTCTCGACTGAGGCGTAACGTTTAGCCAAGTACGCTCATAGTTCGTGACCTGAGGCGACAGTGAAATAGTCCAGTCGCAATACTTTCTAGGGTAAAGCGTTATTTCCTCCGTGCTAAATTAAAGTATACACTCGAGCTATAAAGACTGATATCACTTAATATTGATAATGATAAGATAGTAAATTTAACCCGTACATGCTGGACACGAAAACAGCAATTGCTTGCTGGAGAAGGGAAAAACGCCCTTTTGTGTTGTCTATTATTTATTATTGATTCCATCTCAACACTGTGTCCTCATTCAAAGAAGAGCAAGGCTTATTACATGATACACGTAGTTTACGATATTTTGACAGAACCATTAAGGAAGAGACTATAATTTATTTGCGGAAATGAATGTTCTATCTAGATGACAAATATTTATCTTCCTCTCGTCCGGTAATTTGGGGTCCATGTCAGTATACACAAAAGAAAAATTACAGCCATTATAACGTCGTCAGATCGATGAACTATCTTAAATTTGCCTCCTACACAGTTCACGAAGTTCTTATGTTTCTGCACCTATCATGTTGAAGTTCACAAATGAGGGACAGGAGGTACTTCTACTAAGAAACACGAAAGTTAGTTCTTTCATCTCTCAATGGAAAATATCACCATAAACACAGATCTCTCATTCGCTTTGCAAGCTGAGGTTAGGCAAGATCTTCGAGCCCCTTCTATTCTCCAATTTCTGTCAACATCGCCTTGTGCATCACTTCTACTCTAGGGAATGCGTTGATCAGTCTTAGTTTCGCTTCAGGTTTGTCATCTCCGTCCACCATCGCAGCTGTTGTTTCGTTCTTTGGCATCGACTGATCTTTGTGTTGGCCTTATTTCACAGCGATGTTTTGTCATCTTCGTGTCAGTCTTAGTAGCCAGACAAAATTGCGTAATAGCTCAAGGTACAGTACATAATCTGTAGTGCTATCTTATGTGGTATTTCTCTTAACACGCTGACTGCAATAAGCGTGGACAGACTTCTCGCTCTGCAGTTAGGGTTAACATACAGACACACTGTAACTCTTGTAAGAGTTCGTGTGATTATTATTATCTCATGGTTAGTTTTGGCTTTACACAGTATGGCGTACTGTTGGTCGGTACGTATTTTCACGATTGCTGTTGTTATAAACATACTACTCTGACTACTATGTATTGTGGTATCATCATTTTGCTACATGAAAATATATTCACTCTACGCTATCGACAAGCCCAGGTTTTGCAGCAATCTGAACCAGATCAACTCAACAAACAGTGTCTAATTCACTGTGGGTTTACATTGCTGTGACACTAGTTGATCTTCCATACACTTCCCTGACAACTGTAACAACTATGCATGGTGACAGCAGGTCAACTGTATTTGCAGAGGGATTCACTGCAACTCTGGTTTATCTCAGTTCGTCCCTTAACCCGATCATTTATTGTTGCAGGATCAGGGAAGTTAGAAAAGCAATAATGGCGACGATCAGGCGTTCTGGCTCTGTGCTTTTCTAGAAATTTTCTTGTTGGGTTAACACTGGAAATAAGGTTCAGCAACGTCCATATGTCGTCCACGTTTCGTTTTCTCTCAGATATTCATTCTGAGTGTCCTTTTCAGTAATTCAACTTAGTTTCCTTGAAGTGTCAGCGAGGATCTTTTCTATCGGCGATAGTCTAACAATATTGCGATTTGTGCGTCTTTTAGGGTATTTTATCTCAACGAAATACTCTAATAGTCTAAATAGATACAAACTTGTTGATATCCATTCTTTTTATACGAAATATGTTAAAAGAATATAATGTGTTTGGGGATGTGAACCGTAGTTCTGCCGTCCAAAGTCGATCCAGTTTCTCAGTGGATTGGCACACTCATGAAAAGGCCGGTTTTCCTTTTTGCATTTCCGGACGCCGTGAAAAGAGGGAAGCCGCAAAGAAATACTGATGAAAAATTGGACTATGATATACACATTGATTATACTAATGCTGCATGACAATAAAACTAGAAAAGTCATGACAGCTTTTGCCACAGACAAAAACCACAAAAAGAAGAAAAAGAACAAAATTGTGCAATGTTTAGCTTGTAAGGAATGCTTCGTATTTTTCAGATCTTGAATCTTGTTGTATAGATATTTATACCAACTCCCCCCCCCCCTAAAATAAATAAATCAAATATATCCTCGACTCCAAAGGCGTGAAGAGTAATAATACATATACGCTATTGTTCAAGACGCCAAATGACGTTCCTGAAATACTGTATTTGTAACTGTTCTTGAAGTTCCAAGATGATGCTTTCAGTAACAATTTTGCGTTTCGGTTCTTTCCGTGATTTTAGTCAGCTGAGGAAAAACAGCATAAGCTATCCATTAGGCCAGATGTTTCTTGATGAAGCCTACATTTATTTGACGAAACAAGTTCCCTCTCTTTAAGTTTATTTTAAGTCACTAAGCTTAGATTTCCCTATTTCTTTTATATTCTGGCTCATGCATTTATTTACAACGTTGGTTTGCTTTATAGTGACAAGAGATTCTCTTGATAAGGAAACCCACGTCACCCCCAAGAGTGCTAAGTTAAAAATCAATCGCAGAATGCAAATATGAAAGTGCGAACGGCATCACTGCTAAATAGCTTTCTTTATAATGGTAAGACACTAGTGTTTCTTCAGTATATAACCCTAAATTTAGAATCATGTTTCTACTGTTTGAGGTTTGATTCTGGGTTAACAGGCATTGAAGGAACAAGTGTTACTGTGTCTGGCAAATCCTACCTCCTAGCCCATCCTTTTCTTCCAGTAAGAATTAGGAAGGTTTTTCCGAAAATCGATTGTTACATCAATACAGAGAACTATGGCCTAGCTGGCTTAGTTAATTCTTAGTTAAAGGATTCCATCGAACAGAACTGAGTATACTCAATTCTTGATGGTGGGCTCATGCAAGCGGGGTCCCTTCTAAGTAAAACGCTGTACGAATTTTGTTAGACCTTTCAGTTGCAAAAATCTTGATCACGGTTAACGTGTTTACTGAAATGTCCTGAAACTGCCAGTTGCACATCTGTATAAGTGATAGTCAATTCTAAGTCAAAGAATGACGTCGTTGATTTCACTTAGTGGGAATCGGTTAGGAGCGTCACCTTCACTCATTGCTGGATTGCGCACCGAATAAACAGGAGTAATGCCAGCAGTCGCTTGTACCTTACTAAAGCTGTTTAGTCTAAGTAGCTGAACAAACGCCACCGAATACCTACGACTCCTTGCGCAATATATGTAAGGATTGATGGAGGAATTGCATACCGACAAAACATGGAGTGGATAGAAAACGCTCAAGAAAGTGGTGTAGTCTAGATGACTGGGAAGAACGTTTGGAACAATCAAAACCGGGAGCCAGCAAAAAACAGCCACTCCCAGAATGATTGCGATAGTTTTTGCTGCTTTTCTTTCTCGGTGTGTTGTAGGCCTTCCGACATTCACTGACTCGTTCTGGGTTTGGAACATTGAGTCCTCGAGCCTCTTCGCGACAAGAAATATGTAGAAGTAAATTGACACTGTTCCAGTCAAGACCAGAATGAAATAAATGGCCAGGTATTGTATGGAAACAAGTTGTGTGGACCAAACTGCTCCATATGCAATTGAAAAAATCCAAAAGCAGATCATAGTAACCACTGCACGTACCCTCGTCACCACGAGATTGTATTTCAAGGGAAACCGAATGGAAATCAGGCGCTCCACCGTCACACCAAACATGTTTGTGATGGAGGCAATTAATGAGAAATGTCCGAAAAAACTTGATGTCGCCAAGAGGTCCAGGTTGGTCGAGACTTGCTGCCAATTTGCGAACCTGTAAGTTGTAAAAGGCTGGTAAATCGCTGTTACCAGTAAGTCAGACGAAGACAGACTAAAAATAAACAAATCTGGAATTGCCCTCAAGTTGTTGAACTTCATTATGGAAAGGAGAACCAAGGAGTTTCCAAAAGTTCCCACAACACTGGCCACGCTCAGCACAGTGCATAAAATGACAGCATGCGGTAATCCATCAATGGTTGGTATGCTCGTGGAATAGCCTGTACTCAAGTTTAGCAAAAGTGACGAGTTTGTCATGTTCAATATCTATCCAAGTGACAGTCGATCTAAGAAGGAAAAAAAAATGTGCGATTAGTTTAATTATAAATGTATTTCTCGTCACAAAACTTATTATACTTCATTCAGCTATAGTTTTTCCAAATTCTCTCACATGTTAATGACATTTGAGGGAAAATGTAACCTTACCGAGATGGGTTTTTTTTTTAAATATTGCGACAAGTGAAATTACCTGAAAAAAATTTATACGACTCTTCCTTAACAATCCTAATAATTTGTCAAACTTCGAAGGAAATAAATCATCGAATAATTTAGTGATTAAATTGCGAATTAAAATCTCATGTCTACCTAGTCGAGGTTGCACGCCAATTATTTTTCATCTCCTCGTCACTGAAAATTTGTAGGTGTAGTTTATGACGTATTACGGTCGTAGCACGTCTTAGTCTTTTTTTCGTTACCTCGGCAACGCATTAATTTGTGCGTTAAAGGTAAGTTATATGGAGTTTCCTTAATGCGAAATTTATTAATTAGCGAGTATCTACAGAAAAAGAAGTTGCGTAGATGCAGCAGTGGGTTGACTTGACGTTAAATAATTATTTGCTTTTAAAAAAGGCATGCTGTTAGGAAACTAATACTTTTATCTTTCAATTTATTTGACACAGAAAATTGTCATTATCTTCTCGATACCGTCTGTAAAACAACCGCTTAGGAAAACCAAAGAACGGTTCTACATTAGTAAACCAGCTTGTTGAGGTTATTTTCAATGCATTATATTGGATATATACCGCCTTTGGAAAATTTGTTTATTTGTTGCTGCTTAATACTAACTGTCGCTGACTACAAGATCTGCCAAGTGGTGTTACGTTTTGCTAGGGGTTTCCGTGAAAAAGGTTGAAAATGGCACCACCATTTGCAGCGTAAATTAAAGTTACCTTCAAAAACCTTCTGCTGAATATACTGAGAACCGTAGTTCATGATACGCTGAAAAATCTAAATTAGCTTCGATAATCTCAAATGAAGTCCCACGTTATCAAGCAAGTATCCTGCTTTAACGAAATTTAAATAATGAACTAGACCAAAAAGCAGAATATTTGCGTAGCTGTGTGTCACAGCAGGTCAAAAAATGTCGTCACGTGCATTAAAATTTACTTTCCGACCTTCATTTCTCTTGAATATTTGTCAGCTCAGTGCAGCTGGAAGGCTTTCAAAGTTTCCACGCAGAAATCGTAGGATCGTTCCTTCTCACCACCAGCGTCTTCTAATAATAGTTCTGTGCCAGAGACGTTTCCTTAAATTGTTTTTGCTCGATGTCAACACGTATATTCTTCCATTTGACAAAGGTCAGCGTTTGTGGAAAAGCCTTTTACTCTAATTTCCTTCCCTGCCGGAGAGCATTTATATTATCTTTAATTTTCAGAATAAAGTCCATTAAACTGACGCTAAACTTCAACAGCTAATGTGGCAATTTGTGTGAGACGAGTTGTGGCTGTCAATGATATTACACACAGTAGGGTTGTTCAATGCAGCGTCCATTATCTTTACGGGTGCATGTAATAACAATTTAAAAGCTGATATGAACAACAATGTCTTGTTTGTTGAGCAGACATTGAAACTGATCTCGCTTAACGTAATATAACAATAATTTCAGTTTGCAAATGGATGAAAGATGAACACACTGGTGTTCCCACAGCTAAAACAAAATTGGAAACATCCTTTGTGTACAGTAAAGCACCTAGAGGTGAAGTTTATTTTTGCTGTTTTGATCGCTTCCTGTTTGTTCGACCTCCGGTTCATCACGTTCCACGGAACTCCGATAACAACCTCGTCAGTCTGATGATATGGGCTTTTGTTGACTGCAAAGTGGGTGTATAACTGAACTTACATCAAAACGCTCATTGGTAGTACCAATTGTTCCTTTAATCAACTGTAATCAGAGATGGCTCCGGCTTATAACATCTAAGTTAATGGCGATGGAAAGTATGGTCAACATTTACCTGAAAGAGGCGAGTAGTAAGGAAAACGCTTTGATCGTCTTTGATCGTGCTCCTAAAAGATTGAACGAAACGTTTTCGAGGGCCGGTACGTACGAAGAGGCCAATGTATTACAACAATAACTCGCCATCAGTACTCTCAAAAATATTTTTCTACAACCACTCAATTTCCACTAATTCCACCTTCATCTAAGCCACAGGCATCGAAAAAATACAATGAGTTGACTTTGAAAAACAATGCGATTGTCCCATCAATAATCTGATTGTTAAAGAGGACGATGCTGGAGAGCGATTTGCATGGAAACGTTTCAATAAAGGGCGAGTCAAAAGAAAACGAATATAATCATCGTGTCTGTGTGCGTCTGAAAGATTAATGACATGTGCTTTTTCAGTGGCTGCAGAGCAACTTATCACACCAATAAATAACCTGGAAATAAACATAGGGATCTCAAGATGAAATACCTTATCTGCAACCAAATGGTTTCCTCTATACTAAAGCTAGGGACATAAAAAAGGGCTCATTATGACAGTCTTAAAATTCTGGTTTTTCAGTTTGCTTCACTGGGAAGAACAAACCGAGCAATGATATAAAACGCGAATTTTGGACGGTGCAAAAACTCCAACCTTACGGCTCAGTGAAAACTTCCTCTTTACTTACCGTAAGACAGAGCAAATTTAGTCACGCAAATTTAGCCAACCTTTCGTCATTAGTATCTTCGAAGAAAGTGCAAATTGAAAACTTAAAAACTTGAAAAACTTAAAAGCCATTAAACGACTGTAAAAAGACCTTTTAGGTGTTGAAAATTCGGAAATGTACGCTGTGTCACATTTCCGAATTTTCGACAGGTCCGAGAACTTTGCATTTTAAATTGTCACATAGGAACATGCCCTTGGCCATTCTTAGCTTCCAGCTGTTACAACAATTGTATATACCTCAGCCCCATGGAAATTCTCGTATCTGGTAAACATCCATTTATTCACAAAGAATAAGAATATTAGATTTCCTTATAATTATAGTCATTTTATGTCTTGATCAATATGTGTATTCTCAAAACGTATTCAGCTTTGAATTGATAATCAATTTTGGAGAACTTATAGATCGTTTTCACTGTCACGCAATAAAAAAAATAAATCGAAAACCATCCGGTGGAAAAAGCTATGAAATTATGGTGTTATAGAAGATAACTAAATAAGCCGCTTCTCCAAGTTTTAGGCCTGTGCGTTTCCCCAAACTTCAGATATTGGTCGAAATGTTTCGCTGATATTTTCAGAGCCCAGTATGAAAACGCCATGTTGGTGTACCTCCGTGGCACACCAATATGGCGGCCGGAAAATAGTGTAAACATCTGTAACTTACTTTGGNAATATACCGCCTCTTGTGCCTGATGAGGACAAAAACTTTGGTGGCTCTTTCGTTTTGGATTTTAGAAAGTGATGACGTCACGTGAAAACGATCTATTTCCGGTCAATTCTTAGAACAAATCAGAAATACCACAGGTCACCCAAGCGTAATATAAGAGTTTGTATGGAGAACTGTGACTAAAATATAAGAGTTTGTATGGAGATCAGGAGTTGACATTAAATTCGTTCAATGTATGGGTGATTTACCGAAGAAAGACTCTTGAAAATTCAACGGTGTCATTTTTTCTCATCCTGACACCACTAGGTAGTTCTCATTCTAACATTTTTACATCGTAGTAGAAAAGTGGTCGACGCGGATATCAACTGATAGCAAAAATTGGCAGTCAGGACTGCGCATCACGGAAATCTGTAAATTTGTGCTGTGCGGTATACGAGATACGACTAGTAGCAGGCGCCATGTCATCAACTGTTTTGCGTTGACCATAGTTAGTAGAGGAGACCTCCTCTACCAACTATGCGTTGACATAACTGCAGTTTTCTTTACGTCTGACGGCATAAAGTAAAATAACTGTTGATTACTCAGCCAACAGTTATCGACGGCCTCTTTAATTTAAAAAAGCGTTTTTAAACTTCATGAAATTTTGATTGAAAATGTCGTGGGTCAGCTGCTATTAAAGGAAAAAATAAGTAAAGCAGCTTCTAATGAAATTAAACTAAGCGGCAAGAAAAAGAAAAAAAGCTGTTAAGAAACTGTAATAATGGAGCCAAAAAAACGGTTGCCATGTTCGCACAAAATGTTTTCCAAGACGCCGACAGGTTATTTAATTTGGGTTTCCCATTTTGGTCTCAGCTAGAGAAAAGGAATAGTTACCTTAGAACGGAACCGATAAACATCTCATTTTACATGTTTGATGCACGTTTCCTTTGATTGACAGACTTCACAACGCGTGTTTCTTAAAAACTATATTCTCAAGGAGGAAGGTTACGTACGTAATATTGCATAAGTGAAGACCTTTTGAAATTGATATGCAAGAAAACAATGAAGAAATGCAGCAAACTAAACTGGACTCTTTGTTAGAATTAATCTAAAATGCAGCTTAGTTTATACAATGGTTCATTCAGTGCAAACCGAGGTTAATTATGTACCAGCACAAAAACCCCAGAGAAGACCTGCGTAATTTTAGAATGCAGATGAGCAACTTGTCCTTTAGTCAGTCTTCCACAACCGTTGCCATCGATAAGCGCGCAATGGAGGATAACGAGGGTTTTCAATCCCGCATCCCGTCATCCCTCAAACACGCCATCGCGCCCCACTCAGAACGATTATCCCGATCCCACCATGTTTGAGTTGCAGTTCTCTGTGTAAAGTCAGTAACGCGTTACTTTCTGTTTTTCATCCCGCAACCCGCAGTCAATTTTAAACATCCTTCGGTTCAAAGTGAACAAATCTCGCTCCCGCCAAAGTATTTTTATCTCTTATCCCGCGATTAAAATTTTTGCCATTCCGCATCCCGCCAAACCTCTGTTGCACCTTCGATAACGCGCCATATTTTGTCTGAACTGCAACTTGTTCACCCTGATGGACACTCAGATACTGACCTCCAATATTTATGCCGTCGAGTTTCTGAGATATTTGCCTTTTAGTTTTGCTTTTCTTTTGTTGTACTTAAGAGAACATAATCTTTATGAGCCTCTGCTTTAGTGATAATGAAGCATTGGAATATCTAATCTGTAAGAACTGGGAGTTAATCGTGGATTTAATCGCTTTCTGCAAGTGTGTGTAGAATTCTTCCGGCAATAAATTTTCACTGGTTATGAAAAATTAGTAACCCGACGATGACAGGCTCCCTTGCAAATTAAAAAGCCACAACCTAACCTCTCAATTTAATGTATCTCTCAGCCAAATTAAATTTTAGTGTTTTACCTTTTTCAGGTGATACTCTCCTGTGCAAGATTTATCCACAGCCACCGATGTACAAAAGAACAAAGGTAGCGGCCATGGCCAATACGTGCGTGAGCAGCCTTGATCGTTTGAACGCTTAAGATCTTCTGTAAAATTAATGCGAACTTCTTTTTCAATTTCTCTCTCGCTTTTTTCCACTGAATGGATTTCAGTCAAATTACACACTAATTTAAATAACAATAAGAATCACTTTCGAGAAAAAATATTCCCGCCGAATCCTTTCGTCTGCGTTTAAGCGATATTGCCGGAGCAAATACAATAACACTATATATCTACCATGCCCAAGGCACGTATTTTGAGCCGCAGTTTTGACAGGTCTAATTTTACAGAAGCTTAAAGTTGTCAGTTTGAGTTGGCAGCTGTTCAATTCCGCACGTAGCTTTTAATTTTTCTTTGACGTTTACAACTGCTTTCTATTTACTAAATTGCTTTCCACCGTTTACCTTGTGGAAATTTCCACTGAATTCTAATTTGAGTTAAGAAATTAAGCAGAGGAGTCAGCAAAGTTCAGTGACTTTTAGTTAGAATTTCAGTGGAACAACGGATGTTTTGAAAAAGAAGTAGCTTGAAAAAAAAAAAAACACTGTCTTCTTAAGGCAGTAGTGTGTCGGAGGGAACCAAGGTCTAAAAGGGAGAAAAATTGACTGCCAATGCACATTTTGCATTTCAAAAGACCTCTTTGTTCATAGACTCTTTAGTGTGAAAACGTAGACATGCAAGGTCTAAATGAGTGCTTGAATAGCCAGGAAAACATGATGACAATATAATGTATAAAATTAGAAACAACTGACATGTTTAGTCGACATGACTCATTTCACAACAAGATCTACGTCGGTAATAGAAGTTGGAAACTTGGTAATTAATTATTATTTACACTGAGCTGCATTTGGGATGGAAATATAACGCCTATTGAACAATCAACACCTTGAGGTTTAACTATAGACAATTACATTATAGTTTTTCTAGAAACAAGAACTAATCGAAGTCACTGATGTTCACCGATACTTGAGACAGGTTTATGGAATTATCTCGATCATTCTCGATGTGATGCTCAAACGAAATCGAATTTGCAAATGTTTTTTTTCTTTACATGCAAAGAAGAGATTAAAGACAAGAAATTTTTACATTTAAGGAAATAACCCACTTCTTCTTTAATCCCCATTTAACGCTTTCGGATCAAAGAGAAAATGGAAATAATTTAGAATGGCTTAAGACTTATCATTAACATAAAATCAATTCAGTATAGCAATTAAAACAAATTGGTTTCACTCTTGTAAGATTACAGGTTTGAAAGTTGAACACTTGGCATGACCCCGTGCAATTGAACATGTAATTTCGGGCATTACGGCTGTGGCGATTAACCAATGGGAATAGAGATAAGGAGTAAACTGTAATAATAATAATAATAATAATAATAATAATAATAATGATAATAATTTTTTAAATTAAAACACGTTTAATGTACGGAATAATATACAGAAGATAACTCGTTAAAAAGAATGTCAAAAAATAAAAGTAACAATTTACATCATCGCATATCTTGTTTTCATACTAAGTTTGTTTTAAAATTATTGTTCATGGTTCCTTAGATCGGCGGAAATCCGGGACAAAAGAGTAACAACAACAACAACAACAATAATAATAATAATAATAATAATAATAATAATAATAATAATAATAATAATAGTAACACTAAAATACTAAAATCTTACTAGTTCCTTATCGATTTCAAAGGCCCTGCTAATCCTAAATGTGAAGAATATTAAAAGGTCTAATCCAAAAAACTTGCTAGTTCCCTACCGATTCCAAAGCCCCTACTGATCCTAAATGTGAAGAATATTAAACGTTCTAATCCCAAAATCTCGTTAGTTCCTTATCGATTTCAAAGTCGTTATCTGCAATGTTCAGCCGAGCTCTTCGCGTACAGTGTGAGCCTCTAAAGCATAGCAGCGCAGACCTTAAGAGTAATTGCCACTAAAAATCAAAGAAATCGGGGCCACGGTCGAAAAATCGATTTGCTCATACTTTGCCAGTTTGAAGGCCTAGGTAAGTAACTGACGGAAACTAAGTTAGTTTTTTGAAATATCCAATATAACGGCAGAAATTCACGAAAAACGGTTATCGCACCGAAAGCCTAGATTTCACTTCGCGGTAATCCGAAATTTTACGATTTTCAGTTTTTTGCTACACAGTCGTTTACATTGCTGTGAAACGTTTTCAACTTTAAATGTATACATTGATTCTTCCTTAATCAAGAGATAGTGATTGTTTTTATTTCTTGTG